GTTGCCACGGCGTTCGTTCGCGTCCGTCGATGAATTTCGAGTTTGTTGCCAATCACTTTTTCGCGCAATTATTTCACAACATTTCGACATGACGTACAAACCAAGCGGACCGAACGATAGTACCCATGGTCGCGAAGGGAGGAAGGGGGAGGAAGGGGGAGAAAGGGGGGATGGAGGAAGGGGGTGGATTGTTGGGATGAGTTGCATCAAGAGGGAGTCAGGGGGAGGAGACAGCTCATGGACGCTGGAGGGTCTATCGGAGGCGATGGATTCACGCAAGAGGAGAGGGTGGGTTGGGGGTGGCAGAGGAAGGGATGTAACACATGCACGTGGCACGGTCAATGCATCCGCTATCCGACAAATGCATGAAACCCCACCCCCCTATTTCGAGTGCACCAAATTTCCCCGACTACTCTTCTCTATCTCCCCAACGTTACCTTCTCCTCTTCCACCGGCGCATGGATGCAATCCGCCAATGTTAAATGCAACATTTGCCTCTCCACCTATCTACATTCGTCCACACGTATCCCTCCCCCTCCCCCTACTGATGAACCATCTCTCGGTTCTCTCTTTCCTCGTTCGTCTCGTTCCCACTTTTCGGTTTCCTATCTGCTTTCTATCCCACTAACATGGTCGGCACCCGTTTATGTATTTATCGTATGTGCATGAACTTTATCGACTCGTGTCAATCACTCGTTAGTGGTAGGGTAGGGTGGATGAAACAGAGGAAGGGAGGGAAAAAAGAACGACGGGGATGCAAGAGATTGTACGGTTGATGTACACTGAAGTGGTTCGGATACGTGATGTGTTTTTCGTTTTCTCTTCTGTTTCTTTCTTTCTATTTTTTCCTTCTTTTTTCTTTTTTAAAGAATGAAAGAAACGAATTTTCGATTGATTTTATCGTTTGTTTCGAATCGGTGGTCAATAATGAAACGATTCGAGAGAATAATGGAACGTTCGCTGTAAGCTACGTTAAAGAAGTATTTTACGTTAATAAAATGACCGAAAGGATAATAGGATAATATAGAGATATTTTCATGGTACAGTTATGTCACCGGTTCGGTCATAAATCGGAAGGTTCGGTAATAGGACGGGCAATTTCGTGACGACGTCGCCGGAATTACTGTGAATAAGGAAACGCGATAAGAGGCACGGTAATACATCATTTGATCCTGCCGCTTGTCTAATATTATAGGCACCAATCGTAAGGGCTTAATATTGGGGTGAAGGTAAGTGGCGGACCAGCTGACGTCCTGCTCCACCCTGCACGCACGCTGCGACTCGTCTTGAGGGTGTGCGGATGAGATTTAGGGACCGACGACAGAAGTCTGCTGGCGACACTGATTTGTGGTGAGCTTTGTTTCAACACTCTAAATGCTCAGATGACTAAGATTCTTCTGACGTGCTCGTTAATCCGAAACTTATCTTCCTAACTGATAACTCTGCGAAATTTAATTAGAGATGACGGTATTATAACCGACTATTTACTATACCTTATTCGAAAATTCTATTAAAATTCTATTAAAGCAGCCTTTAATAAGGATCGCTAACAGATTATAAGGATCGTTAACGACAAGGATCGTTAAGTAAACAACGATTGACGATCTTGTAACTACTTTTTCAAGTATTATTATTCCTGGAAAATAATTATATTCAACAAGACGACGTTTTAAGGCACTACTCCTGTTGTTCCTATGTATATCCTTTATCTAACATTTAACATAAAAAATCGCAGATCACTGTTTAACATAAGCGTATGAAAGATTCGCATTACCGTCTTTTTCAAAGAATCTATTCTCCAATCTTATCTACGAATCGAAAGCTACCAAAACTATGTATCTTAAATCTAAAATCACAGGCGATAAACGCGTGCCAGGTCTCAAGTTAGAACAGTTACCCGAATGCGGTCGCCTGTCATGATTGCCGCCAAGTATAGCGTTGACGCTGAACTTCAGCTGTGGCTTCTCCTTCTCCTGGATGGTTCTGCATGCGGGTCCTAAGCACTGCTCGTCGCCGCAGGAACAGGCGGTCGTTCTCTCACCTATCCTGTCGACGACACGCTCGACCGCCACGTCTCTCTCCCCTTGAATCGTCATCTCATCGGACGTGTGCATGACGTTTCTGCATCCAAGGTCGTACCGCCTGTCCGGCTGTAATGCCGTCACGCGTTCACCTCCTAGAATTCCATCGTCCTTTTCCCTCTCGCCTTGTAGTCCTCCGTCCATCTCGATACTTGTCGGATCCTCGTCGACGTTCGAGTTGCACGAGTCCACCGCGGAACTTGATCGGTTCTCGATCCTCTCGTTACAGAGCCTCTCCATCGCGCATAAACGATCCACGATTACGTGTCCGTCGATTCTCTCGTTGTCCACGTCCACGTACGTGATCTGACTCCTCTCCATACCGTCCTTCTCCCGTAGAATGTGCATGCGATCGTTCTGTCGATCGATCCTCCCGGAAGATCCTCGTTGATGGTCCCTGCAGTCGATCATCGAACTTCCACGATCCGAGCCACGTGCACCGGTGGAGGATCGTTGATCCAGCTGATCCTGATTTGCACTCGACGGCGAAATCTTCTCCCTGGAGATCCTTAGGTTCGCCTCGCATTCTCGTTCCCGCTGCCTCGCTACCAGACTCGCCGCCCAGTTCAAGGTCAAGCTGGTTAAATCGGCACCGGGCGACGCCTTGCTCTGGAGCAAGTTCTCCATCAAAAACGGCGAGGTCATTGCACTTTGTTGCAGATTCTTCAGCATCGCCGCTGACGAAGGAAACATACCACGGCTGTCCCTCCCCTCTTCCCCCCAAACTTCGTTTCCACCGATTGGTCTTCTGTTTCGGTCACAGAATCGTATTGTTCTCCTTGCAATAATGGTATTGTCTTTGACAATCGATAATAATATTTGAGCTGATATGGATCACAAATACATTTTCTTTCGTTCACTCAATCTGATACTTGTATCAAATGTATTATACATTAAAGTCGTAGTTTCTACAACTACTATCTACTCAAGAGCTTTATACACAATTTAACACTCGTTGCTTTCTATCTAAGCAAAGATCAACGAAGTCCTCGAGTTCTCCGGCTCCAGCCAGCGTAAACAGCATCGATAGCTCCCACGATATTCGAAATCGACATTACACGCGTATCTTCGTCATCTTTGCAAAACCAGCAGTGACTAAACGAACATCACTATATTGTCCCTCGATCCATTCGTGCGTATGTCCGAGTCCTCGCCTCGGATCGATGCGTTAATCGAAGCACGCGACCGCGGAGCATGGCATGGTCTCACTCAAAAATCACAGAAACGTTCGATAGAACCGTAGACGCGTGTCATATCACTTCGCAAGTAATCAACCGCCACGGAACTGTCACGAAGGTGGTTACGTCGTGGAAGAACGTGCGATTTCGGCAGCGGAATGTCAACTGACGTGCATGCGAGCGCAGAGAGAGGGATAGAGAAAGAGACAGAGAGAGAGAGAAAGAAGGGGTGCCCAGAGTGTGGCAGCGCAACGTGAGAGCGTGCAACCCTCGAATGAAAGCCGACAAAGGCATATAGCTAGCTGTGTTGCCCCTTCCCCGTGAAGCGGGATTCACGAAACAGCCCCCTTTAACGTATAGCCAGTGGCTTGTGGGTATATAGGTAGAAGAGGGTGTAGAAGGGAGAAGGGAGTGTGTTACTCTGTACCCTTGCCCCTTCTCGATACCGTTCCACCTCTTGGAGAAAACCGGCGTGCAAACCGCCCCTCCTCTTCCCTCTTAGGTGAGATAATACAGACTATAAGCCGAGCAATTCGGGGTTTGGCTCGCTCGGTAATGCCGTAATAAAATCATACTCCCATCAAACGGCGCTGCGCGCACCCCCTTTAAAGGTAACGG